ATGTCAAGGAGTTTTTGGTTTATTCAACTTCAATATAAAAACTTCAAATGAAATGTACACGAGATCTCGTTGAAAGCTCCTCAGCCTGTCTGTCCATCTACCAGCATCTCCACTTGCTGCTGTGTCCGCTCCTCCTCCTCCTCTCCTGCCGTTCCCCTTCATTCTTTCTCCGCATTTGCCCTACCCCCGCAATCATCGCACAATCGAGAATTCAAGCTCGGCCATCAAGGCGATGTGGTCGGAGGAGTACTGGGGGGAGGGGAGCGCGGTGTAGGCCGTGAGCGTGATGTGATCGATCTGCTCCAGCACCCGCGTGACCCGGAGGCGATCGGCAGTGTGCCATATGTAGTCGAGGATGCCGGTGAAGGTGGCGGTGAAGTTGGAGTAGAAGTCCTTCCCCAGGGCGCTGTAACTGTCCCTGAGCTGTAAATTGTGCCGGATGTCAGCGTGCTCTAGGATGCCCTGCGGATCGTCCTGCAGCTCCGAGTGGTTGGGGTTGACGGTCCCTCGCTGAAGGAACTCGTACACAGAGCTGTCCTGCTGCGAGTTGAAGTCGCCCGTGAGGATCAGAGGAAGTTGGCGAGGGACGGTGAACTTCTGCAGCTCCTGGACCAGCGTCATCACTTGCCACATCTTCACGTTGGGGAAGCCTTGGTTCTGATAGATGTGCGTCGTCGCTACGCAGATGCGGCCGGAGGGGCCGGCGGGCTGGCCGTTGATGGACATCTCGAGGACGAGGACGAGGGCGACGTTATCCTTGAGGAGGCACTGGAGGGCGCGTTCGCTCAGCCCTCCCTTCCCTCCGACGCCCCTCGCTCGCGACATGGCGACATGGTTGAACTCTAGAGCATGCTTCTCCACCAGAGAGAAACGAGACTTGCGGAAGAGGATGGCACACCCGTCCATCTTCCCGTCCTGCCCCATGCTCTCCCTCGTCTTCTGCTTGTACACCCCCTGGTACCCTGCCGCGTCCAGCTGAGGCTCTAAGAACTCCTTCCAGTGATCCGCCTGCACCTCCTGCAGCGCCAGCACGTCTGCCTGGTACCCGAGGATCTCTCGCAGCAAGTTCCTCTTGCGAAAGTTCCAGGGGAGGGCCCAGGAGGGCGTGTAGGGGTAGGCCTGGGGGTTGGCGTAGATGTCGGCCAGGCAGTTGTAGGTGAGGACCTTGAAGGTGGCCTTGGGAGCTCGCGGGTCGAAGCTGTTGGGAGGTTGCGGTACCTCCATCATGCTGCGAGCAGGAGCGAGAGGAGGCGCTTGCATTACCTCCGCTGACTCGATGCTCATGGACTTGCCTGCAAGGCATGTGAGAGGAAGGAGGGAGGAGAGGAGGAAGGACGAAAGGAAAGTGAGGAGGAAGGCGGGAGGAAGGGTTGGGAACAAGGGGGAGAAAGACAAGGGGAGCGAGAAGAAGGAGGGCAGGGAGGAAGCGAGGAGGGAGGAGGAGGCGGAGGAAAGGGTAAGTTCAATTGCCTGTGTAGAGGCCGTTCTGACTGATGGGAATACATTCAAGCTTAAGAATCCTGCCAACATCCTGCTTCTGAGGAACGTAGACTCTGCTCTGACTGATCTCCTGCTCGAACGAGTCACAAGGGGCAGGAGAGAGGGAGAGGAGGAGGAGCCAACGGCCCACCTGCCAAACATTGACGAAATCTCTCGACGGGTCTTGTCGGCGAGGCTTCAGCAGCTCTCCCTCCCTCCTGCGGCTCAACCGTCACACCCTCAGCACCGCAGCGAGGCAGCAGACGACTTGTGTCTCTTGTGAAAGGGCCAGGCTTTCATGAACTCTTCGACCTGCGAGGGCAAAATCACGGCAAGAGGGAGGAGGGAGGGGGGGTACGATCACGACAAGAGGGAGGAGGGAGGGGGGGTAGGATCACGACAAGAGGGAGGAGGGAGTGGTGGTGGTAGTGGTGGTGGAGGGGTCACGGCAAGAGGAAGGAGGGAGGGGGAAAGGGGGGTTCACGACAAGTTCAGGGTGGGAGGGGGGGGGGGTCGACCGATGAGAAGTAAGCATCTTCGTGCGTGTATTCCTGGCCGTTGATCTCGAACGTCACGTCTGGCAGCAAGCACTGCATCGTCGCAGGCTT